GCACTTCATACGCAGGATGGCAAACGAGATGCCCACAGGATCCCTCAAGCAGGATGAGCCAAGGCCTCCTGGCCTTCTACCCAAGTTCCCCAGCAACTGCTGTGTGCAGGCAGCCCACCTCTGGTAAAGGACATAACACATAGCCAGCAAAGCTAGTAGCCACCAAGAGCCTCCTCCCTCATGAATTCACCCATGGCAGTGAGTTCCACAGTTTAACTGCACACTGTGTGAAGAAGCACTTCCTTTTATCTGTCCCAAGCCTCCCCACAATCAGTTTTATGGGATGAGCCCAGGTTCTAGTGTTACGGGAAATCTCTCCCTCTCCACTTTCTCCACACCATGCATTATTTTAAGCCCCTCCACCATGTCTCCCCTTACCTGGCTTTTTCTAAGCCAAACAGTTCCACTTGTCAAAGCCACTCCTCAGAGGGGACCTTCGCCAGCCCACAGATCATTTTTGATGCCCCATATGACCCATATAACTCTGGTCATATCCACTGTTACGCAGGGCATCCTAGGTCTAATTCTAGTCTGCCCTAAGCAAGATATTGAGTAGAACTGTCTTCTGAAGCAGTTCACTGAAAACTCGTATAACCACGAAACTGCACTAGATGCCTGATCCTTTCATACTTGCTACATGGAGTTATCTTAACTGCATGACATACAAAATTTATGGAACATTAAACTGTTGAATGATGTTACAGCAGGATTAGTAGCCAAGGGACCAAGGACCAAGCTCAAGGACAGAAGCATTTGACCCACATTTTAAAATTAGAAAAACCAAAGTCTGATCATAAATTAAGTATTCCCCGTATTCAATTCATGTATTTTAATTATTTTATTTAAAATTGTTGTTGTTGTTGTTGTTAGTTGCAGAGTTGTGTCTGACCCATCACAACCCCATGGACAACATTCCTCCGGGCCTTCCTGTCTTCCACCATTCCCCAGAGTCCACCTAAGCTCACACCGACTGCTTCAATGACTCCATCTAGCCACCTCATTCTCTGTCGTCCCCTTCTTGCCATCCCCTTCTTTAAAAAATATTTATACCCTGCCCTATACACAAAAGCGTCTCAGGGCTGCTTACAAAAATCAAAAACAGATAATTTAACAATTTAACAATAATTAAATATGCACATAAAACCAGTAACAATTCACAAATGAAATGGAAAAAAAATCTAAAGAATAAATATAAAATCAAAACCAAAAAGCAACTGTGTAGTTAAAACCTGATTAAAATTCCTAAAAATTAAAATGATGGGCAAATAAAAAGGTTTTCACCTGGCCCCAAAAAGAATATAAAGTCTTTATACTTATTTATATGAATACATATCACTAAATCTAAGCAGCTGCTCAAAACAATTTTAGCAAGCAACTGGACTGGAGATTAAAAATACCATTGCAAAACTGCTCTTATCTGCTATACTTCCTATTTGTTTCTTTAGGAAAATATGGTGACTCCCTTACAGTGAGTAGTGCAATTAAAAAATGGAGCCACCTACAGATGTTTCAGCGCACCCTCCAGGTATGCAAAGTATGATTTCCCAGGTATTAAATGATAGTATATAATTGAAACAAGGCCCACTGTTAGGTTTGAGTTTGTCTGCTCCCTGCACCAGACGACTGGAGCTGAACTGTTACTTTAATTCCTATAATGTTTTCACATACTGCCGCAAGCCATATGAATTTCCTAACACCCAATGTCAGCCTCTCTTACTGGTTCTCATTAACCACCTATTATACTCCATTGTATTGAAATGGGATAAGGTCAAAGTGCCTACCTGTAACAGTTATTCTTTGAGTGGACATCTGTGCATTCGCAGATATGGGCTCTTCACCTGCATGGAGCTTTTTGCGAAGATTCTACAGCTAATCATTAGTTTGGGCAGGAGCCCCGTCCCTTCCTGTTCCCTGCATCCATGGGAAGGGCTCCTACCCATTCCCTCAGTTCCTTTGAGACTGCCTATAGGTCCCAGGACAAGGGAAAGAACGTCCCACCCACTCCAGCCCGTGCCCTCCGGACCAGGTCAGGGGCTGAATACTCTGACGGTCACTCAGCAACAGTTATAGGTAAGCAAGCTTTCTTCTTTGTGGTCTCTGTGCATCACACATACGGGCCACTAGCAAGCTTACCCTGAAGAGGACGGTGGGATTGTGTTGTCACCAGAGGGTCTTGGAGAGGACTGCCCTTTCCTGGATGTTTAGCCTGTAGGGTTTGATGAACACTGAGGGTGTGGACCATGTAGCTGCTCTGCAAAGGTCCTGCACAAGAATTCCTACAAGGAGGACTGTGGACGTCACCATCGCTCATGTGGAGAGGGTTCGTAGAGGGGCCAAGAGTTGTAGGCTGGGGAGATGGTGTTTCTGACCCAGCTGCTAGTCTCTGAGTGGATCTAGGAGAGCTTTAGTCCCTTTTTGAAAGAGCACATATAGAAATTGGAAGATGTGCTCACTTGTGTTCAGTGGGTCAAGAGCCTCCTGATGCATAAAGGCAGTGAATGCCTGGCATTGGACTAAGTAAGACTTCCTTGTTGGTGGTTTCAGGGCAGCTTTGAGGATGGTTCTGATATCCTGTGGCAGAGTATCGATTGTGGGGTTTATAGTATAACATGCCATGCCATGCGGCTTAAAGGGTTGGTGCTGTGGTGGAGGGTTTTGCCCAGGTCTTGTGGTACCAGCCTGGACTGTGAGGAAGATGGAGGGATGTCCCTTGGCACAGCTAGAGAAGTAGAGCAAAGCAGGGACGGAGCCTGCTGCTCAGTCGCCACCCATGCATGTCAAGGCTCATGCGGTTGAAAGTGTCTGCCCACATGCGGTATCTCTTGGATTCTTGATTCCCTTTCTTCTCAGGACACCACAGTGTGCTCCCCATCCTGAGAGAGATGTGCCTGTGGCGACGACGATCAGTGGGTCTGCGAATGAGAAGCTGGTGCCCACTGGTTAATGCTGAGGGCGGTGGTCCACCCATGGCAGCTGTTCCTGGTGGGTGGGAGGACATCAAGGCGTGTCTTGTGTAGTTTGTCCAATGTGCAGAATGCACGGATTGCACTTTGTAAGGATTGCCTTTGGAGGCTTGTGAAGGGGACGACTGCCACTTTCACAAATATGAACCTGAGCAGCCTTTGAACTCTGTGGAGTGCGGCATTTGGAAAAAGCCAGGGATCTGACGGCTGGATGCCCACTATGGATCAGGAGCTTTCTGTTGGGTGAAGGCAGCAAAAGCATTCCATTTGGCAGTATAGGAACATCTGGTATTTGGCTGCAGGGCTGCATCCAGGATCACCTGCATCTTGGGCTGGAGAGGAACCACCTGATCGACTGGCTGATCCTCCGTGCTGTGAGATGGATGGTACTGATGTCAGGGTGCAGGATCATTCCCTCAGTCCCGACAGATGGTAGCTAGTCTCAACAGTAGCCATATGAAATTGTGCACAGGTGGAGGAGGTGCGCAAACCACACACGTCAGGGCCACCAGGATACACAGAAGTTCCTTCCCTCTGGATTTTGCCAGCACACTGGCGGTAAGTGGAAACAGTGGGAACAGGTAAATCAAGGCCCCTACCCAAGGCGGGAGGGACACATCCCTCAACATGTCAATGGCAGTGATTCACAGAGAACTATGCCTTTCACTGCTCTGTGCCCACCTCAACATGACAAAGTTACATTCACAGAGCGCTCAGCCTGTTCTGCGCTAGGATCTGTTTTCTGCTTAATTGTTCAGGGGCATTTACAGGGATTTGTCAATTGCTTTTATATTCATTCTGTACGTTCACAAAGCAGAGGGACTGAGCAGTACTTCAGTGGAGATACCCCTTCCAGGTAGCTAGTTGTCCTGTGAAAGTCCTGGTGACCATGGAAATCGGAGTCCTCTCAACTCTCTCCTGCTCATGCCCCTGCGTGTTCAAGAATGTGATCACACTGGAGCAATGTCCTGTTTAATATTGTCACTAATGTGTTAGTGAGGTTTCACTTGCCTGGAGTGTTCTCTCAGCCATTTACACAGACCATCCTTCCCTAGCCTGGTGCCCTCCAGCTATTTTGGACTACATTTCCCATCATCCCACCACTGGTCAAGAACCGTTGTTGATAAGAATTGCATTCAAACACAACTGGTGCTTCAACATGTAATCAGCTTGTGGGAGGCTGGCAAAGCCTCTGTGGTGACTTGGAACAGCATCTGAGGCATTAGACTGTTTGACAGAAGGAAGTGTTGGACCAAACCAATGCATGGTGGGAGTGGGGGTGCTGGCAGATGGCCAAATAGTTAAGGAAACATCTGTCAAAGTAACGTGGTCAACTCTGGATAGACCACCAGGGGGTACAAAACAACGCAGGCTGCCTTTTGCAAATGGACACACATGCAGAGGCACATTTTGGGAAGGCAGAAGCAGTGTTAACAAAATAAAATTACTAAAGAGCGAGAGTGAGAGCGAGGGAGAATTAGCTAAGCAGACACGTGCTTCTTGAGAAGAAACAAGGAAAAACAACCACCACCCAGCAGTTTTAAGCATAGTTTTTAAAATGACCCTTACATGTTAAATATAATCAGGACCACACCAGAGTGCTAAGCACACCATCTATTTGTGTGATTTTGCCAAACATGAAGAAAGTGGTGATCATAATATGCAGTCACAATGGAAAGGGCACTGTGGAAAATGGTAGAGTGGTTATTCGGCTGGTGTCCCTCTGCCGATTTGATGCCTTTTTTGGCTGTTCCCCTCTCTGCATGTCCCCTACTAGAGGACTGGATGGCTCTTGAGAGGCGACATGGGCACCTTTAAATTTCTTATTAAAAAATCACCCCACCCCCTCTATTCTGCTGGTGAATGTCTTCTGTCAGCAAAGGGCCACTCGTTGGATGTAACTCCAGTGCATTTACTACTACTACTACTGGTCAGTATAAACCCTGACAATAATTCCTAGATACTATCCAGTTGCAGGCAGCAGCTTGTTATTTCCAAATATAGGAACACTGTGTATCCAAAAGAACCACATACACCTTAAAGAATTTGGGTTATAATATGTATGGAAAGGAAAAGGAAGCATATGGCATTGCAAAACAAAACAAATGCAACACCTACACACAAAACTTTTCTTTTACTGATGCTCACCAGTTTCAACATAATACTGTCAAAAGCAATGCAAGAAATACTTCAGGTTGCAGCATTCCTGTCCCACCCATCTTCTCCCCAAAAAGTTTATATACAGAGCAGAAATAAAAGATTAGCATAATACCACTGAATGACAAAAAGGCTCCCAGTAATAACAAAACAAATCAGGACATTCTAGGTATACATTTTTCACATCTTTCAATACGACTTCATCTGTATAACTCTGTTCTAAAGGAGAAACAGGATTCTGTGGTGGTGAACCAGGCCTTAGAACATGGGTTGCTAAACAGATGTATAGGAAAAAATGGGAAGGGAAGAAGAACACAAAACCTCAAGCAGAGAAGCTGTGGCTGGGAGAAAACTAACAAACCTTTCTCCTCCAGCTGAGCTCCTTCCCACATTCCAAACCCAGCTAAGGGAGCAACTGAGAAAGAATTCACCACCTTCTCCTACCTGCTGTCCTTCCTCTTGAAATTGCTACTTACATGTATCCCAACCATGTAGCTCAAACTGCATCCTAGGTCATGCATCTAAAAGTTTTTAAAATGTGTACATTTGGCTTGCATGATTTACAACTTTACATAATATTATGTATGTTTGAACACCTTGTCCTGCCTCAACCTTTTCCCTACATCATTATTCAGCAAACACTATAATATGATATACACATTTTACTAGAATGTGTAACCTGCACTCATAAACTGAGTGCAAACACTCCAACTATAGTGTCAGCAAAGGCTTGCAAAAGGAAAAGTTGGCTTCTGAGCAGGCAACTTTAGCACCGAACTCATCAAACTTTGAATTACCCGGTATAAAGGTGGCTTCGTCATAATATATGCCATACTTTATTTGTTCTGAAACACACATGAGCATTTTGTTGGTAAGAGATGATGTTTTTTAATGATAAGCATTACTGAGGTCAAGGGTGTAGAACCTCAGGACCATGGCCAAATCCAACCTCCAGAGGATCCAAAGCGGCCTTCATGATTTCCCCAGGCTGCCCCACTCCTACCCTTTTATACTCTCAACTGTTTGGTGATGTCCCTGCATTTGCATGTTTCCTTTCCCCATTCAAAAAGAAAGAAATGGCTCTCTCAGAGCTCAATTACTGGTAATCAGAGCTTTATGCTAAAATATACTGGCATTTTTAGTATTTTGATTCTTTCCTTTTGCCTTTATCCACAACCAACACTGGAATGTGCCCCTGAAAATTCCCCTAAACCTTACCTTCAAAATAACATTTTTCAAATGCCATAAAGCATCAAAAGTTCTAACTTAACACCCTTTAACCTTGAAGCTAGTTTTCTTAAGTTATTTAAATATTTTCATTCTAGGCTACATATCATACAACCATGATGTCATCTTTGGATATTTCTTCCAACTATTTTTATATGGCAGTTTTCAGTACAAAAACAGAAACTTTCAACCTTTTTAGCAATATTGTATCCAAGATAGTTCCCCAACTAAAACTAAGTCAGTTTCAAGGAATGGTTCATAGGAGTAAAAAAGAGTGATTTAAAAAAAAAAATCCAAAAGAGAAAAGAAGTAATGCTACTGTTTTTGAAGTTATTTTGAATACCAGCTTGTTGTTTAAATGCACCAATATTCTTACCAAATGTACAAAATATTTCAAGTCTTTTCACACCATACTCAAAAATGGATTTTAAGAGGGAAAGCGGCATTCAGCAGAATATGAAATCACCACACATCCCCTTTAGAATGTGCAGTAACCACTACTCTCCCGAGCAGTTGAATACTTTGTTCTGCTGAACCCTGTACTCAGTCCAGTGATGCCTCATCTTCACCATTAGTATTATAAAAAACTATCGAAATAGTGAAATTCCCGACTTGGCTTCTCCTCCAATGAACAACTCACCACTACTTATTTCACACAGAAGGCAACCATGTCATTACTCTGAAAAAACTACCAAAGCTTTAAAAAAAAAAAGACTGCATCAAGAAAGGAGGCCAAGTGCCAGCACTGCTGCAATTGCTGCATGAATTCTGTGCTAGACCTCCAGTGTGCTGAAAAGAGAAGAACTGTTTATTATTCCCCAAAGTTTTATCAGAGTCTGAGAGTCCCTTGGAATCTGTGAATTTTGTTCCTATCAGGCTGTTTTTAAAATTGAGTAGGCCAGCAAATTGTCGTTCAGATCCAACTTTGGGGCCATTCCTATTACGCTGCTGGTATAACTATGGAGTAAACTGCTTTTCTAAGAGCACATGTGTACTCCTCAGTAATTCTTGGTCCTAAAAAAAGCTTCTTTTCCAGCAACAAAGCAAATCTAGAATGTTTCCTGAATGCTTTGAGATGCTCTGAAACTTGACTGTGATTGATTTTTGAGTTACAAAAACAAGCTTAAGAGATGTTTAAAATATAACACGTTGGAACCATCAGCAGCAAAACTCCAAAAAGGTACATTTATCAAACAGTTGTACACATAAGTGTCCATGGTGGTCTCTTTACTGTATGCCCTCTTTACAATCAATTCACCCGTGTGGCATTTGTTGGCAAGGTGCACACTTCGCTGAAGTGGCAACTCTGAAGATAGTTTTTATAGTGGTTTTTCAGGCTTGTATACAAAGAAACTGTCTCCCCAGAGTGTGGAAATTGCAGCAGCTTCTCGTTGAGCAGTATCTGTATCTTGTATTCCTCTTCAGGAGATCTGGCTTGATCACAGTGATAAAGCACAAACAACAAGTTTGAGGCATAAGGGACAATGCGACCACTACGAAACTTCCGATGCTGGTGCCTGTGGTAGTTGTGTGCTTTAAGAGGCTCCTCATCTTTGAAGTAGCCCATCAGAGCAAGGAGTGGCTGAAGAGTCTCTGCATGTCCAAACTGGAGGATCACAGGTGAAGAAACAGGCTTTGAACTAGTAAGTTGTAAAGCCAAGAGAGAACAGGTTAGTCAAGTGAACCTAGGCAGTAAGATATAACTACTATACAGTTACTATGATGTAGTCAAGTCTGATATTGCAATACAGTTGTTTCTCTTCTGGTGCTCTGAAGACTAGGATTTGCATTTAACTGGTCAGAGAGGCTGGTCAACTGATCAGTTAAATATCTAAGAAATGCAGCTGGAAAAAAAGAGAAGACACTGGAGTCCAATTTCTCTTAGAAAAATCAGAGAGAGATACCTTTCCAACCAGCACATACCATGAACTGTAACAGTCCCAACTCCTAGGCACATGTCACCTGTGTTACCACAATGTCTACTGAATATTTTGGTTTCACACAAGTACCTCATTCTTGATCCTGGCCTGAATTTAAAGGCAGCAGGAGACTTACCAAGGGAGGGATTAGCAGTTTGCCCAGGAACAGAAAGAGCAGGGCAGAGGGTGAATGACTTCTAATTCCTCTTTAGCTGAACAGCAAAGTGACCTTATTTCTACCATTACTATCAAATGACTCCACAGTGAAATTTAAAGGACAGACTGGCACTTCTGACCTCATTCATCCTGTTGAGCAAACACATAGGAATGACTTCTCCTTGGATTCTTTTTCTCCTTTATGTGCCCTTTTGGTTGTGTACAACACGGCGAAAATTAAGCTGTTCTTTTTCTGTCCCTTTGGCGAAAACTCTGATTTATGTGCTACCCGATTACTTTAACCTTCTATTTTCTGGCTTTCCTCTTTCAAACCTTGGTCCTCTCACTTCTACCAAATGATTTATGCAAAATTAATTCTTGTCTCCTATTGCTACAAGTGATATCCATCTTCTGTTCCCTTCACTGCTTTCCCAATTCTTTTCACATCCAGCTGAAACGCCTTGCCCTTGTTGCAGACTCTTCTACGGCCTTGCTCCACCTTATCTTCTGGTTCGTGTTACTCATTATACTCCTGTCCACAACCTGCGCCTCTAACCCTACCATTCTCAGCACAACCTCACTCACTCTTGCTGGCCAGGTATTAAGCTGCCTCCCTTAAATGCCATCTCTTTTTTTAAATCACTGCTCAGAGCTCACTATTCTGTGTAGTTTCTTTCCAGATACTGGTCTTTTGTTGACTCCCACCAAGAAACTGCTATCAAAGCAGCGCAAGCTTTATAGCAAAGCACTGTCAATATAGGGAAACTGCAGTGAGGGCAGCTTACTAAACATCACTCTTACAATTAGCAGGAAAAGCTGCAATCTGTATGAATCCTTTTTAGGTTTATTTAGACAGTCGTATTAGTGGAAGGAGCAAATAGGTTCATGTCCTCCCACACAACTAGTACACAATAAAGGGGATTCTTGGATACATTTTTTTAAACAGAAAAGCAGGGTATAAATCCAATGAATAAATAAATCATGGAAAAACAGATGGAGGTATATTTTACAAAATATCACACTGTAGAGTATTGTGATTTTTTTAAAATGAGGTAGAACAGATAAAGCCCTGTACTGGGATTTAAAATCTCATGTCTTCATCACAATTTAATGTAAACTTATTAAATACTCAATATTTTTAGCAGTTACGGCCAAACATACAAAGGCCAGATAGGAAGGCTACGGCTAAGTTATTGTCTTCACAAGGAAAGGTAAGCCAGTATTCTAATGAACCCTGTGTAGGCATTAGCACATGCAGCCAATTGCTCTCCCACTAGTTTGAATGGCTAAAGAAACCAGAAATGGCATGTTTACCATGTTCTCCAAAGACAAGATCCTTGTTACTCCTGAAGAAGTTGCATTGTAAAATCAAGGACAAACCCTGATTTACACATTCTGGATCACAAGCCTAGGAAAAAAATTGCTAGTGGGAGGAACCAAGAGAGAAAGAATAGGCTGTGCCCCCAGATTATTGTTTTATGATTCCGTGAGAAAATAGTCACAGTTTAAAATTAACTGAAGAAACCTCTTGCTCCTTCAGGTTAAACTGTAACATAAAAGAGGCAATAAACCAATCTCGTTTGACCAATCTCATTGGTGCATAAAGCTTTAAAGTATCTTTGCAGCAAGTCAGTGATTTTTAAGAACTGCATTTTGAGATAGCACATGCTGTGCAGAACTTATGAAATCCTTGGTTCCTTAAAAGGAATTTCTCACAGTTGAAAATGTTACATTAGGAATTAATAGGCCTAGAAGGCATGTGGACATCCAACACCTGATTTTCCACAAGGAAATGAAACCTAAGTTTATACCAGTACTCTCCTTCCTACAGAAGTCATAAGGATGAGAAACTGAAATCAGGGAGCACAAATAAGTGGTAAATTCTTCCAATAATGAGGTCCCGTATTGGAGCCAATGGTTTTTAACTTGTTTGAAAATGACCCAGAATTAGGAGTGAGCAGTTAAGTGACTACCTTTACAGATGGCATCACATTATTTAGGGTGGTTAAAATAAAAGGGGATTGCAAAGTAAGAGCAAAATGGCAATTGCATTTTATACAAGCAAGTATAAAATTATGCATGTTGACAAGATAGATATTTCACATATATGCTGAAGGGATTTGAACTAGCATTGATTGGACAGCAACAAAAAATGCTGGTCCATTATTTGGCTGGTGTAACAAAAGGAGAGTTCCATGTTCCTAGAAGGGAATTACAAAAATAAAACCACCAGTATCATATTTCTCTTATACAACTATATGATGCAGTCACACCAATGGAGTATTTTATTGGAGTTTTAATGAGCTTTGACTACTGGGTGGTACAGAATAGTAACAGTAACAGTACTACTGCTATTAGTACTACTAAATATAGTTCTGTTCAACAAACCTAAAAAAGAATATCGCATAGGTTGAAAAATTGCAGAAAGGGTCAGTTAAATGATCAAGGAAGTACACCTGGGACTGTTTAGTTTAGAAAAAAGGAAAGGGCAGTTATCACAGATGTGTACAAAACTAGGCATGGTGCAAAGATAGTGGATAAGGAGATATTTTTCTTCATCTCTGTAATACTAGAATTTGGAGTCATCCCATGAAGCTGACCAGAAGGAGATTCAAAACAGATAAAAGCTCTTCTTAGGAAAAATCTGACCAATTTAGCACAATAAATAAATTAGGGAGCAGGGTTACTAAGAAAATGAACACTAAGGAATGTTGGCTTTGGTCAAGATGTACATATGTGTTGTGTTTCTTCAGTCATTTCATCCTTCCCTGCAGTTAGTTCTGTGTTAGCAATGTTAACATACTTGTCATAAACAGGTATCCAGCAGCATTTAGAAATTGCTACATTATGACCAGTCGTTTCCAAGACAGTAACAGACTGGTAGCTCCTAGATAAAATGTATCGCACAGAAAAGCTCCAGTTCTTGCACAAATAATCAGGAACCTATCCAAGTTATTCCAGAAGTTGAGAAATTTCCAGCAACACCTCAAATCTGAAAGCACAATTGCTTTCTATTTTGTAAACTGTCAGCATAAACAAATCTACGTGCTTGCACTTATTTAGGCAAAAGGTGATACTTGGCGATCTGTACAATGCTGACATAAAAGCTACGCCATAAAGGTATAAGCTAAGGGATACAGATAAAGGTGGAACTTGACTGGTTTGGAAAGAAAGAGTTTCTTTTGAGCATGAACTTAGGAACACCTAGAGACAAATCTAAATATTTATCAGTTATCTAACAGGAGTACACTTACCCAATGCAAACTGGATGATTAAACAATGCTCATTTAAAACTAAATAGGGTATTTGTATATTGTTTCTTCTTAGGACTGGACTTGACATGACTTTGCTCTGCACCCTATGTTTTCTCTGGCTTCTTCCAACGTAAGTATGTGTCAGGTTGCAACTTAACTATAGCTTTCAACTGCAGAGGAGCATACCTTCCTGTTTTTGAAATCCTGAGGCAATAATAGCAGGCGCGGCAAAATTCACACCTATACCTCAACATCAGATTCTTACACTAGCCTCAAGCTGCCCTATTTATCACCCATTACCCTGATCAAAAATCGTAATAATCGCTTATGAAGAAGGAAAAACACAAGCTGTGTTCCAACATCTTCAGCTGACAGTTCAGCAAAGGAAGTCATTGGGTTTACAAGTACTAAATGTTGTGATAACAAGGATGGCATTATCCTTAGGAAGAGTTTAAAAGACAAAACCTGAGATAAACTGTAGTACAATATCTATAGCTCATTAGAAAGACCAAGGAGTACCTGATAAACATGGCTTTGCCTTGGTAACCACAATATGGGTGCAACAGTTCAGTTTAAGGGGCTTTGAAATATTCATTGCGTGTGCTCAGGAACAGTTGTGGCAATTCTTCTGCCACTGAACTGAGAAACTGTCACTGAGAATAAGGGAACTTGTTCAGCCTCAACTTGGCAATTAAATTGTCACTACAGGTGGATAGGTGATTCTATTTTAGAGATTTGACCATGCTATAACCCTTCATAAACTCTTCATTTCATATGTTACATAAACATCATTAAAGACTGCACAAAAACAGTCAAGGCAATGTTAATACCTGGACACAACAAGATTAATATCCATGTAAACATGCTTTTCTCATATGCACTAGTAAGAACAGTCTTATATAAAATGGCATTCTTTCCCACTCATTGAAAAGAATTCCACCCCACCTACACACTGAACCAGTGGTTTAAACACTCCCTGTGTTACATAATAAGGTCAACCACAACACTGAATTATACAATTATGTTTCTAAATGCCAAGTTGCAAGCATGGTTGCCATTTTGCATAATAAGCCTGTCCACACTAGTCCAATTGGATGCTGCCATGGACAGAAAAATAGCTTCTAGTCCAGTGCCCTGTGCCCTAGTGGCAGTTCATGCGAGCGTAAAAGTTCAAGGCACACCTCAGGAATTCTTGTTCTCAGCAAACCTTGAAATAAAAGTGCTGTTGTTGTTGTTGCCATTAGTTGCGAAGTAGTGTCCAACCCATCACAACCCCATGGACAACATTCCTCCAGGCCTTCCTGTCCTCCA